GGTAAATCTGAAGCAAAAGTCTCAAGAAAATTGTATAATCAATGGTCAGCCTTAAATCACTCTCTGTAGTCTCCAATGACATGAAACACCCACAATGCTCCATCCATCTATGTGGCTTAGGCTGGCAATACACTATACAATTTTCTGTCCAATTTCCTTTAGATTTACCTTCAACTATGTAATACAAGGGCCGGCCTATTTGGCTACAATTGAAAGTGTTGTTACGTTTGACCTCGTATTATATGGTTTTTGGTAAATCTGAAGCAAAAGTCTCAAGAAAATTGTATAATCAATGGCCAGCCTTAAAGCACTCTCTGTAGTCTCCAATGACATGAAACACCCACAATGCTCCATCCATGTGATTAGGCTGGCCATATACTATTCAATTTTCTGACCAATTTCCTTTAGATTTACCTTCAACTATGTAGTACAAGAGCCCGCCTATCTGGATACAATTGAAGGTGCTGTTAGGTTTGACCTCATTATGTGGTTTTTGGTAAATCTAAACCAAAAATCTCAAGAAAATTGTATAATGTATGGCCAACCTTGGCAGGAAAGATGCATTTTACTCTATGAATGCAATTTTGTTAACACAGTCACATTATTAAGTCAAATAAAAAAAATATATATTTTTTATAACAAGTCTACTTTGAAAACACACACACACATGTAAAACAAACAAACCAAAAACCCCGCAACATACCAAGAAGGTACAATAATTGATGCGTTTTATGTGGTATGTATATATCTAAACACAGGCATGGCACAGAAGATGAATCTACTACCTCGTCTACCCACAAGCCTGCAGTACCGGCAATGCAACATTCATCAAGAAAAGTGTTGGCAGCCTTTCCCAGCAGTAAATCAAACACAAGGCAGCAGTGTTCCCTGCCCCAGAGCTGTGGATCTGATTTGTATACAGAGAAGTATCTGTTTGTGGTGTATACGGCTCAGACAATGGTGCGGCTCTGGGTGTGTGACTCTACAAAGGGCACACACCTGTACGGCATTACCACACTCTCTGGGAATGCTAATCGCTCAGGAGGAACCTGCACGGCATGACGGTGCTCTTCACGCTGCTACAAATACATGCCTGACAGCCCGGAAACAAACTCCTTCGAATTGTTGTGCTGTTCTACAGAGTGAACGGAGTTCTGGTTATAATAGAATACCTTCCCAAGAAATGCTAAACAAAAGGATCCTATTGAGAAGGGGCCATTGCTGAAAATACCAGTTCCCTGCCTGCTTCTGGCCTACTTTGAGACACCAAAGCTGAGCAAGCATGCAGCCAGTGAAAGCAGAACACCACGATCTGTATTGCACATACCAAGTGAGCACTGAAGCCAGGTGCCTGGAATTTTCTAAACAAAATCAGCAGATAAATCTGAAAATCTCTACTACCAACAGGGGCGGATTGACCATTTGGAAACTTGGGCACTGCCCGAGGGCCCGGGGTCAGTAGGGGGCCCCATGAGATGCCCCTGGTACCTTTTTCATAGGCTTTTTTGAGCTTGGGCAAGGACACGGGGGCCCCATGATCCCCTATTGCCCGGGGGCCCCATGAGTTGTCAGTCCGCCCGACTACCAATCTACATACATCTTGTAGGCTCCATTTACATCCTTTGTGGCAATGTGTACATCAACATGGGTGTTAGTACATGTTACATGCATGGCAATGCCATTCCCCTTGGATGGACCTGTAATGCACTACAACAAGGTACATGCTCTGCAGCACAGCATTACAAAGGTCCTTCGCCAGCCCATTACTTTCAATGCAATGTTCATTAATGGACTTTAAAAGTTTAAAACCTTCCTTGGGTCGGGTTTTTAATGCAGTTTGGGCCAATCTGATACAACATACGGACTGGAGGATTCTTTTTTTGCATGTTTTACAATATAGGGACTAACATATAAAAGAAAGGACTGCTGCCCAAAACAGCCCGCTTCCTCCTTGTACGGCCTTCTCTAGAAACAGCCCGCTTCTCCTTGTACGGCCTTCTCTAGAAACAGCCCGCTTCCTCCTTGTACGGCCTTCTCTAGAAAACAGCCCGCTTCTTCCTTGTACGGCCTTCTCTAGAAACAGCCCGCTTCTTCCTTGTACGGCCTTCTCTAGAAACAGCCCGCTTCTTCCTTGTACGGCCTTCTCTAGAAACAGCCCGCTTCTTCCTTGTACGGCCTAGAAACTGCCCGCTTCTCTAGTACGGCCTTCTCTAGAAACAGCCCGCTTCTTCCTTGTACTTCTCTACAGCCCACTTCTTCCTTGTACGGCCTTCTCTAGAAACAGCCCGCTTCTTCCTTGTACGGCCTTCTCTAGAAACAGCCCGCTTCTTCCTTGTACGGCCTTCTCTAGAAACAGCCCGCTTCTTCCTTGTACGGCCTTCTCTAGAAACAGCCCGCTTCTTCCTTGTACGGCCTTCTCTAGAAACAGCCCGCTTGTTCGGCCTTCTTTCTTCCTTGTACGGCCTTCTCTAGAAACAGCCCACTTCCTCCTTGTACGGCCTTCTCTAGAAACAGCCCGCTTCTTCTTCGGCCTTCTCTAGAAACAGCCCGCTTCTTCCTTGTACGGCCTTCTCTAGAAACAGCCCACTTCCTCCTTGTACGGCCTTCTCTAGAAACAGCCCACTTCTTCCTTGTACTGCCTTCTCTAGAAATGAAAAACCCAACAGGCTGCGATGGGCAATGCTGCCAGAAGTCAACAAATCTGTATAGGAATCAGAAGCAGTCATTATTCACATACAACACCCACATATGTGATCCGGGTCAATCTCCTGGGCCCATCCATAAACTGCAGTCCCATTCTGCTCACCCCATTGGTCTAAAATTGCCCTCCCAAGCTGCGACATCATGGCGAGAGCTCGCCCTGTTGGATATGTTGAATGCCCTTGTTGTGGGCGAAATCAAAAGCACTGCCATGATGTTCCCATAGGTCTGCATCATCCAACTCAGTCATTGGATAACTAAACAAATGATTTTGTCCATCTGGATCGAAGGTCGGTTATGGATTTCAGGCCCGTTATCTTTTTTGTGGATGGAGTGTCTAGGGTAATCTCACCATCCAGCGGCAACATTGCAGCTAATGGGCATCACTCTCTCACTGGCCACACCAACAAGTTTGTTTCAAAATAAAAAGCTCTTTATTACATAGTATCATAGTTAGTCTGGCTGAAAAGACAAAAGTCCATCCAGTTCAAACATTAAAAAAAGAAAAAAAAAAAAAAGTTATAATCCTACACCCACAGTTGATTCAGAGGAAGGCAAAAAACCCAGCAAAGCATTATTCTTGTAGAATTCTATAGAAAAGCAACATTTTAGGACCATACAGGCAAGATATTTTATCCAGGCTCAATGCAAGGACAAATTGTTTATGTACCCTGTGTACAAAATACAGGGGTGTTGCCTAAAAATCCATCATGTATGCAATGCATATCAACACAAACTGATACAAAATAAAAATAAAAAAAAAAAAAGTTAGAATTTTGACCCTTGATATGGCTTGCACAGAAAAAATGGCATTTAAAAACACAGTTCAATGCACCGTAAACTGTGGTGTAATGTGTTAAAAATGAATTTCAACGCACATGCGTTTTCTGTGTGTTGGGGTGTGAACAAGTCCAGAATCACGGCTATGACGTAGCTCAAATCGAACCAAACATGCTACTCTACAAACAAAAGGTAGTACAGATATCTGTTCAGTACTAGAATTGGGTTTTAGCCTGCGTTCACATATATGAGGTGCGGTATATCGCATGTGATTCGTACATGAACCGCACCGCACTCCTGTGCGGATCACATGCATTGTGTGCGGTGCGATTGGAGCCGTATATTTTATATGACTAATTGCACCGCATCAAAAAGTTGCAGGAGCCTTTTTTGGTCCGCAGTAGAATCAGATCACACCTATGCGATCCGATTCTGCACATTGCACCGCGTTTTGCGCACCGCTTTCAGGGTGTTGTTAACTTAACATACACACCCGCATTGGTTCGTATGAACGGGTGCGATTCTGATGCGGTGCGGAATTCGCTGCGAATTCCGCACCACATCAGTGTGATCCACAGCATTTCTGATACTGAGAAGCCTTGTATATATGGACTTCACCTTGTATATGAGCCGTGTGTACAGCAGGCAGTAATATAGTGATTGTAAAGCTTCTAGCAGCTTTGTTGAAGTCTTTTGAAGCAGACCAGTGTGCGGATGTAAAACACAGATCTTAATGGGGGCGATGGCCGCTCTAAAAAAGCTGCTAGCAGTAATCTTCAGTAGGCTGCCATACGCTTCAGCACTACTGGAAGCTGCTGAAAGCCCGCTAGCAGCTTGTTACAAGTGACCGGCATCACTCCTACTATGATCTGCGTTCAACATCCCCACAACAGAACTGACATTTGCGTTCAAGGCTCCAATAAAGCTGCTTGAAGATCACTGACAGCTTTGCAAATGCTCAGTAAAAGCTTGCGCTGTCCCGTAATGAGGCCCATGTGTACAAGACCTTATTAGATATCTGCTAGTGGATGATCAGAGGTCTAGAGCATCAGCAGGGGAAAAGTTTTCAGAGAAAAAAAAAAATCATCACCCAAGATGCAAAAAGGCCATTGACCCCCCCGAGAAGTGATAGAGGGGGCTGCATTATCCAAGTATACAAATGAAGGATTTTCTCTGGGAACTTGGAAGAAGAAGGGAAAGGTTCTTTTTAAACAAGAATCCCAGACAAGATAAAGATCATCTGGTACGTTGGTTTTCCAGCACTAGCTGATTGTGACAGCCGCTCTAAGGCTACTTTCACACTGATCCGCTCTAAGGCTACTTTCACACTGATTTTGCAAATAAATAATATTTCATCATAAATCTTGTCCAAAATGAATTCCGTTATCTTTTTAGTAAAAAAAATAAATAAAATAACCCAAAATAGTTTATAACCAAAAATTATAATTTTTAAACTTTTCTTTACTTTTTTTATATTATGATTTATTTTTTGTCTTTTTACATACTGCCACCCTAGCAGTACAGTGTCACCATGGTGATACTGTACTACTTGTGGGGGGTGATGAAGATTTTTTTTTTTTACATGCCTTAACCATGTGACCTCTGAGCATTCACAGATTTCACACGTAGTAAGCAAGGATGTCACAAGTGACATCCTTGCTTACTACTCTGCATGTGATCACTGATTGGCCAATCAGTGATCACATGATCGGGACCTCGCACAGAGGTCCCGTCCGACGATTGGTGCTCCGGAGGACACAGTGGGCACCAGATCGTGGTGCTAAGTGCTCCCAGGGAGCACACACAAGCAGGTGCGGGGAGGCCGTTTATAAACGGCCACCCGACCCTTCACTGCCACCATCCGGCCGTTTATATACAACGGCCAGACGGGAAGTGGTTAACTCACCAAACATGCCCCAAAGATGCTGCAAGCAGGAGTATTTACACCACACCACAACGCCTCAGTGTGAAAACATACATAGATATACCTTAGATTGTACGCCCCTTGAGGGGTTAGGGACTGATGTGAATGTACAATATATATGTAAAGTGCTGCGTAAATTGATGGAGCTATACAAGTACCTGAAATAAATACATTCACATAAACAGGGAAGAGTTTTTCTTGAGCTTTTCAGGCACTTTTTTTTTTAAACGCAAAAACGCTTTAAATACTTCTCAGGTGTGAAAGCAGCCTTACACAAACACGGGTACAAAAAAAAAAAAAAAAAAAAAAAATCCCTCCCATACTCTTACCCTTAACCATGTCATGAAAGAAGAAAGCACAATCACAGCATGGTGCATGACCTGTCACAGACAGCCCCCAATCTTGGGTAATGATCGGGACCAGGCAGGACAAGCTCTCGGTCATACGACTACTGTGACAGCCAATCACAATGATTAAGACCCAGATAAAGGGAGGAGGTATGAAAAAGTTAAAAACCAACTACTCAGAAGGAACCCATACACTGAATACTAAAGTATTAGCCGCATGCAGTCATCAGACTCCGGTCATTTTTGTGATCCTTTAACCCAAACAGATCCAGCCTGCACTAAAAAAATACCCGCCACAAGACCCCAGCACTGAAAATAATGGTTTCAGAAATCCTCAGTACATTCATGTGACAAGCAGGGGCGGACTGACCATTTGGGCAAGGACACAGGGGCCCTATGATCCCCTATTGCCCGGGGGCCCCATGAGTTGTCAGTCCGTCCCCGGTGACAAGTCTGTAGCTGGAGTTTCACTTTTTATCTTGAACTGAGCAGGACCTGCAATGAGAGATTCTCCCTGACCAGTACAGTATGTGGAGGGCAGTATGGGTGGGGGGGGGGTATACTGGTGAATTATACTGCACTACACATAATGACATGACCACAATGGAGCAGAATCTTTTCACCGTCAGGCCTCGCTGGCTTCTAAAGGCCTTCTATGAAGGTCCCTGTTCTATTGTAAGTCTAACAACTGGAGCCATTACTACGCTCTGTTTGGAGCGCACAAATATGACACCAATACGGTCTGCCGGACACAACACCACAACCCAGTGCCACCCTACTCCCTGCCCAGCTGATGGACAAAGTACATGTCCTGGGAAAGTTTTATCCCCCTTTTCCTATACAACAAGGAAACAATTGCCACTCAGCACAAAAGAAGGTCTATGAAGTGTTAGAAAGTAATTACAATTGCTTCAGATAATCCAAAGCTCCTCTTATCTGTTTAAAGTGATATCAATCGCTTCCTGTCCGCCCTAGAACAGTAATACTGCTACAGTTAGGCACCGGAGCGGAGCACAAAATCACGTGTGTGTACATACATATATATATATATATATATATACACACACACACACATATATATATACACACACACACACACACACACACACACACACACACACACACACAATAAGTATTTGATCCCCGGCTGAAACTCTCCACTATGGCAAAGAGCTGTCCAAGGATGTCAGGGACAAGATTGTAGACCTTTCACTACACAAGGCTGGACTGGGCTACAAAACATGCAAAGCAAAGACCAAAAGAGCTGTGCTTACAGTGAAGCACAAACACAGCCCACACAGTAAAACAGCACACAGTTAACCCTTTGATCGGCCCACATGTTAACCCCTTCCTGCCCAGTGCCATTAGTACAGTGTCAGCACCGATCACTGCATTAGTGTCACTGGGGATGTCAGTGACACCAAGTCAGTTCCCCCCCAGTCAGAATGCCCGCAGCAGTCACGCTATAAGTCACTGATCGCCACCATTACTAGTAAAAAAAAAAAAATAAAAAAAAAAATCCCAGTATCTATACCGACATTTGTATAACTTTCATGTAAACCAATTAAAGTACATGTATTGAAATTATTATTTTTAGCAAACACATGTAGCAGAATACATTTTGGCCCAAGTTTATGATGAAATTAGTTTTTTTTTTTTTTTTTTTTTTTACTAGACATGTTTAATAGGAAAAAGTCAAAAATATTGTTTTTTTCCTCAATTGTCGGCCTTTTTTTTTTTTTTTTTTTAATAGCACAAAAAATAGAAAAAAAAAAAAACAGGCGAGCAAATACCACTGAGTCAGTTAAAGTAACGCAGCGCCGTCACTCAAAAAAAATGGTCTGGTCAGGAAGGGGTGTAAATCCTCTGCCAGGCAAGTGGTTAAACCCCTATTTTTTGTAAAGCAAAGTTCACCTTTAGTGACAGGTTATACCTGTATTCAGGATGTAAAATGTAACAGGCTACTAAAGCAGCAGCCCCCTCCCCCTGCTGATCTCCCATTGTGACAGCGGGGGATCCTCTCCACCCACATGGCTGCATCATTCATTCACAGAGTTCTGTGAATAAATGACCTACAAGTCCCATGTTCTGCTGTGGCAAATGGCTTGTAGTTTAAGTTTTCAATGAGATGTGAAGGAGCTAGTAGTTCATCGATTCTTCCTGCTCTTTAGTAACAGTCTGCCTGAGGTCCAGGCAGACAGGTATACTGACAATCTGCAGGATCCTGACATTGTACCGGCTGACCCACGCTACAATGCACCACAGACTACTAATAAAAAAAAAAAAAAAACAACAATAAAATGTAAATTTTTTACCTCTATAAAAAGTTATTTATTTATACAAAAGTAAACTTGTCCTTCAGGCACTTTCAGCAGCTGATTTAATCACCCCACTGAATATGCAGCTTCATTTTAATCCTTGCCTATGTTCCAGTTTAGGCTGATGCCATGATCACTGCTCCAGGTTTCCTGTTTCAAGGTGGCTCCTTTCTCACGCAGCATCCTATGGAGTCACACTTGTACGCAGGGACTAGAGTTGTGTCTGCCTACCAGGGCTGCTGTTAGAAATCACAGGGTCCCGTCCAGCCTGCATGGCCGGGCTCCCCTTAAAAATATCAAAATGATATTTTCACTAAAATCATTATTAGTAGACATACACATAATGTACAAAATTCCTGGTAAAGCTAAAAAATAAAACTATACCGAGTTAATAAAGTTCTGTGTGGCCTGTACAGTATAAATCAGTGTTTTGTTTTTTATATGTGGTTACTGCGGTGTGCAGGCAGCCTATGTTACACTATGGGGTTACAGCAGCCTTATGAACACAGCCACAGTTCCTAATTTGACAGATGTATGGAAGCAGGTGTATGGCCTCCAAAAACACAGGACTGTCTACTGTTAACTCTTTGCTATAAAGACTGGAAGTTCAGGGAAGCAGCACAGAGAGAGCAGGAGCCAACAGCATTGAAAGTTGTAAACTGCAAGTTCTGGGGTAATAACTTTACCAAATAGTTTATGGGGTAATGTTTATTTTATAGTGCTCAGTGTATTAGGGTCCATTCACACCAGATGCGGTGGGGAAGTTATTCCAGCAGTCCTACCGCATGACAAAGCAAAATGCCTGGTCTCCTGTGTGCCTGATGCCTGGTGGGCGGGAACAGTGCACTGAAAGAGAAGAGAGCATGCACAACCTTTTCAGAATGCCCGCCGCAGTCCCGCTATAAGTCACCGATCGCCGCCATTACTAGTTAAAAAAAATATATATATATCTCAGTATGTATACCGCCTGGTGGGTGGGAACAGTGCATTGAAAGAGAATAGCGCATGCACAACTTTTCTTTCAGTGCAGTGCGAAGCACCACACAGCAGCCAATTAAACTTAATGAAATGTCTGTGTGACTTTTCAATAAAGTTAATTTGGAACGGTGCAATACAGAGCGTTGATTCCCCCGCCGGACCGCACACCAGCCGCTGTGTTATAAAGTGGTTGCTGGGTGCGCAGAAATCAGGGATATATATGCGATTTTGCATTTCCGGGTAAGGGGTGCACGCATGTGCCCTACCCGCACTGCCATTCGCAGCCTCAGCTGTCAATCAGCAGGTCCCGGAGGGTGATTACTCGCTGGTGCCCGGTGATTGCCGAGAATCTCCGACAGGAGGGGGGGGGGTAAACAAAACCATTCTCTCCTGTCAGCTCCTGCTCACTGCTTTGCACAGCCATGCAAAGCATTGTGCTTACAGTGAACCACAAACACAGCCCAGTATGTAAAATGGCACACAGTTGACCCTTTGATCCTCCCACATGTTAACCCCTTCCTGCCCAGTGCCATTAGTACAGTGTCAGTGCTTTTTATTAGCTCTGATCACTATATTGGTGTCACTGAGAATGTCAGTGACACCAAGTCAGTTCCCCCATTTCAGATCGCCCGCTGCAGTCCCACTATAAGTCACTGATCGCCGCCATTACTAGTTATAAAAAAATAAAATTATAAAATATCCCCCAGTATATACACCGCCATTTGTAAATGCTTTAACTTTCATGTATACCAATTAATTTACACGTATTGGGATTTACTTTAGCAAAGACATGGAGCAGAATATATTTTGGCCTAAATTTATGACGAAATTTGATTTTTTAATTTTTTTTATTGGACATGTTTAATAGAAAAAAGTAAAAAAAAAAAAGTTTTTTTTCCCCTCAAAATTGCTGGTCTTTTTTTTTTTTTCATTAGCACAAAAGAAAAAAAAAAAAAACCTCACAGGCGATAAGATATCACTGAAAGAAAGCTCTATTTGTGGGAAAAAAAGGCTGTAAATGTCATTTGGGTGCATGACTGCGCAACTGTCAAAGTAACGCAGCGCCATATCGCAAAAAATGGCCTGGTCAGGAAGGGGGGGGGGGGGGGGGGGAATCCTCTGAGGGTTCAATACTACTTTAGGCTCAGTTCACACCTATGCAGTCTGCGTTTGATCCCATTTCTGCAGTGCGTTTTTGCACGTGGTTTTTTTTTTTTTTTTAACTTGTTGCTGGGCAGATTAAAGCGCAGAATGCATCACATGCCTTTCTGCAGCATCTCCATTGAAGTCTATAGAACCAAAAACGCAACATTTTGCATTTAAAAAAAGTCCCTGACCCTTTCCAAAAAAACGCTGTGGGAACCTGTCCCATAGGAAATCGTGTTAGATGGATTGCTGTGCGTTTCTGCAAAACGCTTAGGTGTGAACCTAGACTTAAGTCATACTATATGAATGGGAACATAGAAAACAAAGTAGGTGGCCGCAAAAGTGGAAGTCACCTTTCAGCCAAGCTGTGCACATAGATGAGGGGGTTCGCTGATTGGGTGATCAGAGTCATGCTCACACAGGTTCTCCCCCCCCCCCCGTATCTCAGGCACTCTTTGTTCTGTACAACGCTGCAGACCATGTTGACACGATAAATGAACTGACAGTCAATGCCGCTTGGTGACCAGCAGAGGGCGCCCGCACACCCGTCGTGACTGCACCACCAGCCTCCTCCCGCGCACAACACAAACAGCCCGGGGGGCGGGGTGACGTCACGGAGGGTGAAAGCCGAGCATGCTGGGAGTTGTAGTCCCGACACACAAGAGCACAATGACCGCCGCCGATCGCCCGGAGAGGAGAACCCACCGGACACCGAGGAGGACTGACTACATGTGTTCAGCGTGATGGACCGGAGTAGAGGAAATCCACCAATCACAGAGCGTCACAGGGAGAGGACATTACACTTCACTTCTGTGAAATCCTCCAAGAATGGCCGATGCAGCACAAGACACACGTGGTGATGACAGGCGGCCAATCATCGCTACAAATGTATCCATTCCCCCAGCTGACCAATCACAGGGCGAGGAACCGCACACACCTGGATCACATTCATCATCATCATCATACCTGATCCCACAGGGAGGAATCCTTCACCTCTAGAGCCACCCATAGATTACATATCCATCGTATTCTAGATCTATATATAGTAGCTCCCTCCATTTCTGTTCATCTGATTCTATATCTACCTATTGTACCTATAATACACTATATTGCCAAAAGTATTGTCCCCGCCCTCCAAATCATGTGACACAGGTGTTCCAATCACCTCCATGTCCACAGGTGTATACAATCAAGCCCCTAGGCATGCAGACTGCTTCTACAAACATTGGTGAAAGAATGGGTCGCTCTCAGGAGCTCAGTGACTCCAAGCGTGGTCCCGTGATAGGTTGCCACCTGTGCAATAAGTCCATCCGTGACATTTCCTGGCTACTAAATATTCCACGGTCAGCGGTTAGTGGGATTATAACAAAGTGGAAGCAACTGGAAACAACAGCAACTCAGCCACCAAGTGGTAGGCCACGTCACATGACAGAGCGGGGTCAGCGCATGCTGAAGTGCACAGAAGAAGTCATCAACTGTCTGCAGAGTCAATAGCTAAAGACCTCCAAACTTCATGTGGCCTTCAGATTAGCACAACAACAGTGTGTAGAGAGCTTCATGGAATGGGTTTCCATGGCCAGCAGCTGCATCCAAGCCTTACACCACCAAGTGCAATGCAAAGCGTCAGATGCCGTGGTGTAAAGCACGCCGCCACTGGACTCTAGAGCAGTGGAGATGTGTTCTCTGTAGTGAACAATCATGCTTCCCTGTCTGGCAATCCGATGGACATGTCTGGGTTTGGCGGTTGCCAGGAGATCGGGACTTGCCTGACTGCATTGTGCCAAGTGTAATGTTTGGTGGAGGGGGGATTATGGTGTGGGGTTGTTTTTCAGGGGTTGGGCTTGGCCCCCTAGTTCCAGTGAAGGGAACTCTTAAGGCGTCAGCATACCAAGACATTTTGGACAATTTCATGCTCCCAACTTTGTGGGAAGAGTTTGGGGATGGCCCCTTCCTGCTCCAACATGACTGCGCACCAGTGCACAAAGCAAGGTCCATAAAGACATGGAGGAGCCAGTTTGGGTGGAGGAACTTGACTGGCTGGACAGAGTCCTGACCTCAACCCCATAGAACCCTTTGTGATGAATTAGAACTGTGACCAGGCCTCCTCCCCCGACATCAGTGCCTGACCTCACAAATGTGCTTCTGGAAGAATGGTCAAACCTTCCCATAGACACCCTCCTAAACCTTGTGGACGGCCTTCCCAGAAGAGATGAAGCTGTTATAGGTGCAAAGGGCGGGGCCAACTCAATATTGAGCCCTACGGACTAAGACTGGGAGGCCATTAAGGTTCATGTGCGTGGAAAGGCAGGCCGACCAATACTTTTGGCAATATAGTGTACATTTCTATAGATCTATGTCTATCACTCTTTTCAGGCTAAGTTCATACTGGTGTCTAAATCACCACCCCTCTGAAAAGCCAGCCATGTTCAGATCACTTTTCAGAGGCATCCACAGGCAGCAAGGAAACAATGTGACACCTTCCTTGCCAATACCCAGTAATTGCTAAGCACTGCATGTGTTGCACATGGTTGCAAGAACGCTTGAAGCGTCATACTGGTGTGATTTCAGGTGCAAATTGAAATCACACCCCATAAATGTGTCTTAACCCCTTCACGCCGGCCGCACGCACAATGTGCAGCCTCCCAGCGTCTGGGCCTAGACGCTGAGCGGCCACACATTTGCGTTCATGTAACAAACATATGTGCTGAGAGAGCGCGCCCTGCGTGCTCCCAGCACACGTGCGATACTCACGGAAAGGTCCCGGTCCGCTCTTTTGATCGAGACATTTCCCGATCCTGTGACCGGCCGTGACGTCACATCGGCTACATGACACTAAGCCCCGCCCACCTCCCCCACAGGAACTCCTCTTCACGCCAGGACGATCCGGCATGAAGGGGTTAACGTGCAATTTGTTGCAGCGTGATTTTTAAAGTAGTTCTCACGTGACTTTTTCAGCATGTTTTGTTGCGATTTCCCATACATAGAATATAATGGAAATCGCACTGCACATTGCCAGAAATCGTTGAAAATCTTCACAAGTAGCAATCGAGTCTTCAGAAATCGCACAGAAATGGCAGCGGTGTGACCAGGGACTAATTGTTGCTGTGGGCAAGAAGCAAAGCATTACAACATGTGTTCACCTCAGTTCATGGCCTTTGCATATCAGGCTACTTTCATCCTACTCTGTTGCAAAAAACGCAGTAAAAATGCATGTGCATTTTTGCCACATTTTTGCTGTGTTTTTCACCCGATCTGTGAGGCTCTGTTCACACCAATGTGTTTTTTGTAGAAACGCACTACAGTCCATCTAACATGGTGTCCTATGGAACACGTTCACATCCATGCTTTTTTGAGCTGCTGCGTTTTTGGAGAGGGTCAGGGACTTTTTTTGAAAGCAAAAAAAAAGCAGCGTTTTTTTTGCTACAACAGAGTTCAATGGAGAATCCAAAGCGCATCAAGAATGCAACCACAGGTTTTTCCACTTTTTCAATGATTTCAATGTGGAGATGTGTTTTTGGCGTGGTTTTGTTACTGCACCAAAAACGCAGTGAGCAGGACCAGTGTGAAGAGTTCCATAGAATTTAAAGGCCATGCATTTTTCTTTCGCTGTTTTAAACGCAAACAGGGAAGAAAAATGGATCAGTGTGAAAGCAGGGGTTGCATGGAGGTGCTAAAAAACGCAGATCAACTGTGCATTTTTAACACCCCCGCCCCTCCCAACAGCAAAGGACCTGTACTCGCATAGTTTGGTGACTGGTGTTTTTCCACAGCGGAAGAACACCAGTCACCACTACGGCACACAGAAAACAATCGTTTTCTATGGGCCCCGTTCACACTGCAACACAGCCCAGAGGGTATGGAGCAGTGAGCTGTGAAAAAATGCAGACATGCTGGCACCATGTGTCCCTGCACAGTGCTGCAAGATACCGTGCTTCTGTGCAGTGATACAAATGAAGTTTCACTTTGTGAGCGTCATATATTATTATACAGTATTTATAAGGCGCCAATGGTTTGCTCAGCGCTGTACATTACAAAGGGGGACAGAACATGTGACAGAACAATACCAATACAATGCAAAACATGAAAGAAAAAAAAAAAAAAAAAAAAAAAAAAAAAAAAAAGAAGAAAGTGTGATGTGCCAAAACACACCACACCAGTCCCTCTCTGCAGCCAAAGCTGACAGCTGCCCCACACTTAGGCTAGGTTCACACCTATGCGGGTTGCGTTTGACCCGTTTCAGCATTGTGTTTTGTTTTTGCAGGGGGGGGGGGGGGGGGGCGAGGAGGGTTTTCTTTTTTTTTTTTTTTTTAATTTTTCTTGTTGCTAGGCAGATTTAAAACTCAAAACGCATCAAAATGCACTACATGCTTTTCTGCAGTGTTTTCATTGAAGTCTATAGAACCAAAAACGCAACTTTTTGTGTTTTTAAAAAAAAAAAAAAAAAAAATCTGTGTCCCTTTCCAAAAAACGCAGTGAAGAGATGTGAACCTGTCCCACAGAAAATCATGTTAAATGGACTGTACTGCGTTTCTGCAAAATGCTGTGGAAAAACCTGAGGTTAATGTACACACGTCCACAGGCCAGTCCACACTTGAGACACACTGGCCGCTCTTTC